AGTTTTTCCACAGGTTTCTCCAAAGTTCCTGATGGAACCAAATGCTCACGTACAGAAACTTATTGGCAATTACTCAATACACTGCAGGGTACCAGTGCCCCCCACTGACACACAGCCCTGTGCATTCAGACTGTGGGACTAACAGCAGCCAGCCCACAACCCTACCTCCCAAATAAACAAGGCTCTATCCTTTTATCATCCAGCCTCATGCTTTACTCCCAGGTGTATTTACCATATCCAAACATGGTCTGTCCTATAAGCAGATTAAGGACTGTCTCTGCAACTCTAGCCTGCATCTACTGAGGATATCCTCAGCCAACTGAGTAGGACAGAAAAGAAATCCTTTCGCATCTTTGCATTCTTCCAAACACTGGACAAAAGTGAGATTTCCATCCAATCAAACACGATTTATTTTCTCAACAAAACCCTTTCTCCTGGGATTTCATTTCACATTATTTTCTACTGTTAAAGATACCTACACAAGCTTGCTTCTCCTTCTGACTGAAACTTCATCACAGTACACGCTCTTCGTCTAGAAGCTACATCCCAGTTTCTACCTGTGCAGATGGGTACGTAGGGCGGGGGGAAAGCCTGCTACCCAGAAAGCAGTAACCTGTTCTAGTTCATTCTGCGAGCCAGAAACAAAACTGCTTAGCTCATTACCCAATTAAAAACTAAACAAAAAGTAAAAAATCTCCGGAGAGATTCCCCAGCTAAGGCCCTTGAGAAGAGAGCTGGGGATGGTACCCTGTTCAGGTAACAGCTGCAGAGGCTGTTGTATTGTGCTTGTCGCTTGGGAAAAGAGCCAGCAGTTGTGGGACCAGGTTTACAAGTGCTTTCTCTGGGGTATTTCCATCACTTTATTTCAAGAGCTAACCCAGATCCTCCTTTCCAGGATCCTGCCATCAAGGTCTGACTGATGGTATTAAACTGGGGCTGGATGTGACACTAATGTGCCCTGAATGCTACAAAAGCTGTTTCAAAGGAGCCCTAGCTTCAGATAACTTTGGGAACAGAAACACTGTGAAGTTCCCCCACCTTCCTGCTCCCCAGCTATCTCCTTCCACCAAAACTTCCGGTACAGGAACAGTACAGCCAAGCCCCCTGGGTGCCTCTGACAGCACTGGAGATGGAGCAAGGTCCAGGTGCTCTGTCAGGCAGACAGTCTAAGTGCACAGGTAGATGCCCTCAGGTGGCTTCTGATCAGATAATTGTCGTTACCAAAAACACCAATTTAAAGGATACCTTTGAAACCCATTAAATTGCTCAGTTTTTGCACAAACTATAGAAAACAGAGAGGTGAAGGTGATATATACGAGGGTGTGAAGAAAACAGCAGGAAACATGCAGAACATTTCTGGGCACTATCTTAGTTTGAAGGATTAAAACAGAAACATCACATTTTGCTGAGGAGATTGTAGTTACAAAAAAAGAAACCCAAGCATGCTGGAGCTTAACAAAATACAACATCAACTTTGATCATTTTTTCACTGCAGACTGATAATCACACAGGGTAGCAGGGGAAAAAAATAAAAATAATAATTAAAAAAAATCAAGAAATCAGGGCAAAAAAATTATGTAGCTACAATCAGAAGAAAAATGTAGTTCAAGTGTTTTCTGCTGATGCCACTCAAGTCACAAGTCTGAACTCATAAAAACACATGCTGTCTCCTCAAGCCCAGAAACCAGATCAGCAAAATGTGACTAGGAAGTCTCCTGAAAGATTTGAGTCACACCATAGATTTGACCTTCTCTTCGAAACTGTGTTGTTTTGTGGTTTTCCCAACTAAAGCACACAGGAAAAAAAACCAAACAACCCTAAGTCTCGAAAGTGATTGGCTGTATGTTCACAGAAATACAAATACTCACAAGGTATGCTAGCAAGGCTGCTCTGAAGACAATTACAAAGAATCAGATTCACAAAATCAAGTGGTTATCTTACGAAGGTCTAGAAAAATAGAAATTCTTTTATATTCAAATGCAAGTTTAAATATTCCCCTGCAGCAGTCTTTCTAGCAAAACCGATTTGGCAGCACGGAAATAAAACAAAACCCAACCAAAAGAAAATAAAAAGAAAGAAACAAACGTAATAAAAATACACATCAGCGTCAAAGGTGAACACAAGGTCAAAGGTGAGAGTTCAAGCATCAGAGAAGCTGAAGAGACAAGGATTTGGACGATGTACTTGAACGCCACATCGACATGCTTTAGGCACAACGATGAACAAACGGCAGGAATCTAGAAAAAAAAACAAACCAGAAAGAGGGAGACCCACTGAGTTACACAGAGCAGTACATCCAAACACGGAGAGAGAGAACAAGAATGGGCACTGTACAATGAGATCTCCTGGGGAAGGGAGTTGACAGGGGAAGGGCAGCACATGCCAACGATGGACAAGTAAAAGTCAAAGTACATGAAGGACACCAAGTAAACATCAAACTGCCAGAAATCAAATCAAAGTAGAGGCCTGGATTTCCCTCTCAACACCCAGTCTGGGGAGCTTTCCACAGCCCAGTGGCACATTGGTTAGCATGCATTCACCTTGCCCTGTGCCCAGTGTCTGCACTAGCTCTGTTTAGGAGGAGAACAGAGCAAGCTCCCTCCCCAGGAGACCAACTCCAAAAAATACGGCTCCAGGGCTAACATTTGCCCACAGAGACTGAGACCATGAGAGACAAGACAGAGGACATAAGGGATTCACAGGTGGTTTGACAGCTGAGACTTTTCCTACACCCTAACGTGGGAAGTTCTTCAGCACTGGTAGCCCAGGAAATCATGTTCTTTCCTTCAGCTACAGTCCCTTCTCATTCGCTAGGAGCCCATGAAACTGGGGTGGGTGATTTGGAACAAACGGGAGGGGGAAAAATAGTTATACAAGACAAAACCTCCATAGATTAGAGAAGAATTCCTTAAGACTTGACTGCAAGTTAAGACTTGTCCTAGCTGAGCACTTTTCATGCCATTAGACCTACACAGGGATTTTCTGTCCCCAGCTCCCTGACTTCATGAGGAGGGGATTCTGGGCTCTGAGAAGCTCTACAGTCACTGTTGCCAGTTTGATGAATAGAAAAAAAAAAAAAAAAAGTGTTTTCTGAAGCTTTCTTGACGAGTTTATAAATAAAATAATTGTTCTATTAAGTGGTATAAATACCTTTGTTTCCTCCCCTCAGCTTGTGAGCTGTGCAAGAAACAAAGAACATTCTGGGATCCTAAACCAGAAAGGTAAATTCATCACAAACTGAGGCATGAGAAACAAGAGGCATGAAATCAAGTGACATCTAAGCATGCACCACAGAAATTCTTTTGTGTGATTTGTTTGGGGTTTTTTGATAGAGATTTTCCAATTATTTCACTCAGCAACTTTGAGGAGAAAGACAAAGTTTCATTAAAGCCCTGAGGAAGGACTGGCCTGCAAGAGCAGAGCCATGAGATGCTGGATAAGAACTTAAATGACTTGTGGAAAGTTATTCCAGTTTGTTTTAATCTCACAATTGTGATAGTTCTGCCTTCTGTGGTTTATATTTTGTGGTAGATACGCTCAGGGATACATAAATATCCTTGTGTTTAAAGGTCTACAACAAGAAGCTCTGAAAGCATTTTACATGTTCATGGCTGCATCCTTTATTTGAAATTTGCTTTATCCAAATTGCTTTTAGATGTTTCCAAATGAAATGGGACAGTTTCATTCTGCTTGGCTGTTCTTCCCTAACTCTCAACCATTACAGAAGAAGCACTTCAATTAACTCTAGCATGCAAGCAGAATCTATGCTGCAACGTGATCTTCAGTATTCAGGTTAAAGGCTTTTTCCTTGTATTTGCAGGGAGAAATTTTCTGAGGCTCCTATTCTCCAGTGAGTAGTGCCCACAGGTAGCAAACTGCTTCACCATTAAAGTATGAAGCGATATTCACCATCACTGTGTCAGGTACTTTTGAAAAATTCCAATCCTCATTCTGTTTAGGATTAAAATTTAATCATTAATTATGAAAAGCATTTTTAATAATGCAAGTTTTGTATTACTGGAAGAAAAAACTAAGCTACAAAGAGATAATCCTATTTTGGACTGTTACTTATTGAGGGGACTGAAGACTGATTTTCTTTACCATAGTACTCGATACGAAGTGGCATCAGACTAAGACTTCAATTGTTCACAATACATATACCTTATTATGATATTTCTAGTAAAAACAATGTGAGAGAAAAATAAAATGTATGAAGTAGACCATTTTTGTCTTGTTTCTAAAAATATTCACAGAATCATAGAATCGTTAGGGTTGGAAAGGACCTTAAGATCACCCAGTTCCAACCCCCTGCCGTGGGCAGGGACACCTTACGCTAAATCGTATCACCCAAGGCCTCGTCCAACCTGGTCTTGAACACTGCCAGGGATGGAGCATTCACAACCTCCCTGGGCAACCCATTCCAGTGCCTCACGACCCTAACAGGAAAGAATTTCCTCCTTATATCCAATCTAAACTTGCCCTGTTTAAGTTTTAACCTGTTACCCCTTGTCCCATCACTACAGTCTCTACTGAAGAGTCCCTCTCCAGCATCCCTACAGGCCCCCTTCAGACACTGGAAGGCTGCTATGAGGTCTCCACGCAGCCTTCTCTTCTCCAGGCTTTCCTGGTGGCACATGGAATTCCATTTCATCAAAAGACCTACTAGCTTTTGTTGTAGAAAATTCAGATTCTTTGGTTTATAAGCATACAGAATACTTTGTCCATGTGGCTAGTTAAACCAATCCTTCTGCAGTTCATTTGAACTCACCCAACCCTTATCCTCCTATCCAGGATATAAAGCATTTGACACTGATTTGATCTGCACTTGAATGAGAGCATGATAGGAATTAAAAAGACAATAAAATTTAAAAGCCCCAAGTCCCCAAAATCCCAGACTTCCTTGCCAATGAGTGAGGAAGAAACCTGACTTAAGACTGGAAGGTAAATGAGAGCCTAAATCTCCACAGTCAGTGGCAGCCACCGAAGAGACACAGAAGTGCTGACTTCATCTGATCAGTTCTGTTATCAGAACAAAATCTGCCCAACTCACAAACTCAATACATTTATTAACTTTGGCAACATATACATAGATACACCAAGAAAGGGAAATCTGAAACAAATACACGAAAAGGGCAACATCTTCAGCTGGTGAAAACTTATGCAGCTCTTCTGAACAGAGCAGAACTGCACTGATTCAAACCATCTGAGGATCACACCTTTTAAAACTTAACCTGCATAGATTTGTTTGGTTTTTTGTTTTCTTTTTGCTTTTTGGCAATACTTACAGTTATGCCAGTAAGGCACAAGAGCTAGCCCAAGTTAGGTGTCTGAGGGTGATTATGTCTGGGAGGAGTCACTGATCAAACTAAGCCACAGGGTAAACTGGTCAATCTCCTAAAGTCAATAGGAGTTGCACCTATTTGCAACAATGCCAAGCTTGATCCATAAGTTACAGTATTGAGGACACATTACAGGATGCAAAGCTAAAATACCTACTTTTGGGCAACTGAAATGACTTGTAAAGAGGCCAGAGCATCAGGTTAAAAGAAAGACAGGACGAAGGTCTTGGATAGTACAGTGGGGTAGGGTGTAAAGAAGGTAAGAGTGACTGTAGAGACCCCAGAGCACAGTGCTCTCCTCCACTGGTTCACAGCGTTCATCTTCCCCCTTTAGCAGTCGTTGGGCTGCAAACAGGCCACTGAAAATCAGTAGTTTCAATCATGCACATCATTATGTGTGTAAAACAATCACATTCAGGATTCTACAAAACCCTGGCCTTGGTTATTTTTTAATCTTTTCCAGTGAAATAATTTAGGTAATAAATATTCTCCACCCTGGAGCAGTATAAAACTTCTATAAAAATAGAAACAACATTCTTGGTTACAGCAGGTTGCACTTGGAGCAGTTGCTCCCAAATATGTTGTTGGTTTATTTTTTTCTTTTTTTCCTTTTTTTTTTTTTGAAAAGTATATTATTTATATTAAAAAAAAATCCCATTGTCACCCTGGAGGCCTTCACACTCCAACACTCTGTTCTCAGAAAACCAGGACGCATCTTTCCCATCATGCAGAATTCAAGCGTACATGGTTCACTTCAGTGTATGTTCACGTTTCTAGAGAGTCAAATAATTAACATAGAAGGATACCACATGCCAGCATAACTGGGAAATTTGGCAATCTGGCCTCTGAACCTTTGCCACCACAAAATGATTTGGGTAATACTGATAGATTTACCTGTCTGCCATCAGTACAGACAGACTGGCATCAATGGTTTGAGTTTCAATTTAAGAATGGAAAGGGCTCTTCTTGGATGCTACAGGTCAGGCCTTGTACTTCTGAGGTTTGAGATCTCAAGAGGCCTTGTCCCTGGGAACACCAACACTCCCAACAGACCAGCGACATTCCCAAGAGACCACGAGCTCTCAGGTTTGATGGGTTTAGTGCTCCTCCTGCTGGAGCAGAACAGGAAGTCTCAACCCTACGTCTGACCCACACAGCCTGGCTCCCAGACTACAGTGTTAACTGGGAAACAGCATCACGAACCAGGAATACAAATAAAACAAGAAAAAGGAGAAAAATGAGGTAAATGGAACTTCTGTTAAAGACACACAAAAATTGTAAACTTCCTCTTGTGACAGAGGTGGATTTGGTGGTTATAAAATGGGACTCTACTCTTTGATTTCTTAGAACAACTCAGGCCAGAGTGTCAAAAATCCTTTGAGCCCCCTAAAACCAGTGTATAACAAAGGCCCTTAGCAACGCATTAGCAATTTCACAAGTGTGCAGAGAAAGTGTGTGTTCGTTGAAGGGGTGTGTTCAGTTTTCCTTCAATATAGAAGATAACAGCTAGTACCAAAAGGCAGAGTAAGACTGAATGGCTCAATGCTCTGCTCTGGTTCCACAGCTCCTGTGTTAGCCTGTTTTGCATTGGTACACACCACCTTAAAGGAAAACTGCAGTATAAATAAATACCTAATTACTAGACTAAATCACTGCACAAATTGTTTAGAAAACAAAACACAACAGGAAGTTATCTTTGCAACAGAATTAAAACTGAGAAATCAAATCCTATAAAAACATGTATGAAACAGGAGCCTCAAGAGCTGTGTTAGGGTAACTCTGGGCTTTGTGTCTCAATGGAAGTATTTTTAATAGAGAAACAAACAGCACTTATATTACGCTTATCAGAATGAATTCAAAGTAATACTCTGCAAAAAGGACATTATTCCACAGAATAGGGGGAATTCCACAGAGATGGGGAACGTGATGAACTGTTAAGAAGAAAATTGTCAAAAAAAAAAGTAATCTGTAGATTATCAGGGATCAAAAGTTTCTTGTTTCCAGCCCCAGATGTATTCATCCAGACTAAGCTGTCTCTCTCTCTATACCTTTCTACAAAACCTAGGTAGAGTACATAGAATAGGTTTGCTTAAATATGGAGTAATTTACTGCATCTCATTAATATTCAACTGTAAATTGACAGTGAAATTTTCAGGGCAGGGATACTACCTAATAATTTTATAAAGTGCTGTGTACATTCACAGTGCTATATAAACACTACTTTATATACAGCAAAATAAAATCACTGCAGTTTTCCTTTGGCTTGTTAATGTGTTCACCCTTCTAGCCTGTCTCTTGCTTTAGAGATGATTTACTAAACCCCAACCACAGCATACAGCTGCAGAAATTTCTGAGAGTGGATGGGGTATGACACTGGCTACATGGAGTCAATTCTTTGCTCACCCAAAGTTGGATGGACTCACTTCTCTTTCCCCATCTTTTGTTTTCATCAGCTGGTCTGTGTTATTTCTGCTTTCCCTTCTCCTCTCGCCTATGGTGGTGTGGTGTCAGTTCTGCTTCCCCCTTCTCCTCTCTAGCCCAAGGCAGTGTGGTGTCAGTTTCTGCTGCTCCCTTTAACCTTGCCTCCCCACCCCCAAGGAGCTGGCATTGGTCCTTCTCAACACACACTGGTTACAAACACAGCAAACTTCAAATAAAAGAGAAATAAAAATAAGGTAAAATAAAAATAAAATAAAAAAGAAACACCTCAGCGATATGGCACCTAAACTCCAAAGTAAAACACTGGAAACAAAAGCACAAACTTGTCCTCCATCCGAAGCGGGATTCTCAGCAGAGGCTGCAGCCGAGTCTTCAGGGGAAGATGTGCCAGATAGAAGGCATGGATCAGCTTCCAGGACTGTAAAAACACAGCCTTAGGGCTTCGAATCACTAAGTGCGCTCCTCTCCAACTTACCAGAAGATCCTTCTCACTCCAGTCCCGGAGGGGAGGGGCGCTCAGTATGGCTTGCTGTCATTCTTAGAGCGCTTGAGCTGTACTTTCAGACGCTTCATGCCAATCTGAAAGCCGTTCATTGACTGAATGGCAGCCTGTGCTGACACAGGATTGTCGTAACTTACAAAACCTGAAGAAAGGAAACCCCATAATTAAGCCGTGACAAAGCTCTTCAGAACAGGTACTCACGATTGGAAATGCAGGTATTTGCAAGGTAAGAGAGGTTTGCATGAAATGCCATATTCAGAAGCTCCCAACTGTTGCAGACTCTTCATAAGAGCCTCTTACTAAAGGGCTCTCAGACAAAGCACTGCTTTCTGATGTATGGAACTTTGGCCAAAAGATATACAAAGCTCAGGATGTTAAATTAACATTTTCTGGTCCAACAGAACATATATCAACAAAAATGAGCTTGATATATAAGAACTCATACCCGAGAACACCAAGCCTGGAGAATGTTAATCTATATATGAAAGCTCATTAAAGATACAAGACTGAAATCACCCTCTTGGCATTATATGGGAGTAGGTTTGGTTGGAGTGAAGTAGCTGTCAAGGCAGCATGACACTTGTACCATTATATTTAGATTTCTCTCAGATGAAAAGCTGTATATAACTCCAGGGAAAGAGCATCCTCAAAATAAACTTCTCCAGGGTTTTGAATGAGCCTATTTTGAATAACTCCAGTCAATGGGGCTGGAATCAGTAACTGGGGAGAAAATACAGTTTCATTGCTGGAAGAGTTTGGATTGAGTTATTTATTAGGAATATGGAGAAAAAAAGTCACTAGCTTTGACTTAAAAGCCAGACTAAACAATATATTGGAAAAGAGACTACTAGAAATAAACTGCCTTTCCTATAGGTAATGATTAGACCCAACATACCAAAACACTTGCTTAGATTGGTCTGCTTGTCAATGAAGACCTTGGCAGAGACGACATTTCCAAATGGCATGAACATCTGCAGCAGATCCTGATCCCCAAACTCCTGGGGGAGATGGTAGATGAACAGGTTGGCTCCCTCTGGACCTTGAAAACAACAAATAGGAACAGGAATTCAGAAACAGCATGGATAACATAGGCCCACTTCACAAAAAAAAGGTGAAAGAGCCATTTGAGCCACATTTTCTAGGTAAAACAATGAAACTGCTGTCTGCACTCCTGTGGAGTACTTGATTCCAGAATAAGTCAGCATGACCCTTTGCTGGGATTGACCATTCAACTAATTCCAGCTCTTTCTCACTGTTTTTATGTGAGATTTCCACATTGTGTCAAAACTGGTTCACAGATCTTTGCTGTAATGAAAGCTGAAGAGTTTGAGCCCCACATGCCAACTAAAATGGCTATGCAAAGCTTGCAGCTCAAGCAATTAAGTAAATCTCAATACAAACTACAAGTAATTGCATTACTTGTAATCTGACAGGTTCTTTTCTAAACATCCTACATTCTGCTGAAAATGTACTCCTACATTCTTCAGTACTTTACATGTTAAATTGATTCTGAAGCTGAAGAGATTGGCATTAAGTAGCTGCAGGAAGAAAGGAAGGACCAGGAAAACAAGGTTAACAAAACCATAACTGATTCATTGACAGTGGGATTTTTCAGGCTGCATCCTGATACATCACACTCTTCTGTACTCCAGGAAAGTGGAGGAGTACAATCCTAAGCATTTAAGAATAGACAAACCCTGAGAGAACTCCACTGTATAAAAATTACTTTGGACAGCCCTTAACAGACACCTCACAGGTTTTCCTTCTTCCTTTCCTTCTTTTTCCTTCAGTAACTCTAGAACTGTAAAAAATGCTGCCAAATAAAAACCTCTGCAGATAAGGTAGCTGCAAGGGCTAAGCCTGCCCTTTCGAAAACCCCTCGAGCTGTTTTTACACCTTTTTGCCTACCTTCTTTCTGACTTCCTGCTGCACCAATACTCTGCTGTGTTAAGAGACTCTGGTTATAGAGGGTGGGCAATGCAGCAGCAGCATATTGCTGGATTCCAGAATAAGCCTGTGTGAGAGCTTCCATTGTGCTACCTGTCCCGTTTGAGAGACCACCACTGCCGAGACCTCCATTTAAGGCTGCCATTCCTGTACAAGAGAAAACAGAGATGACCAAGTACTTCCACTGAGCCAGATCAATTACCTTTCAAATACTCTGTACTATTACAAAAAGCAGGGGGCAGGAAAACCCCCAGGGAAGCAGCACAGACTGAGGAATGATGCTCAGCTCCTCCCACAACCCACTAAAACACACAGCTTACCTGCTAAAGAGCTAACGTTGAGGCCTGCTGTGGCCCCTGCCAGTGTCTGCAACGCTCCAAGAGAAGCCATTGGATTAACAGAGGAGCTGCTACTGGAGCTAGGTGAGGAACCTGCTATTAAAATAAGATAATTAGACTTCAAGCAATATTTTGTGGGCCTGATAATTCAACTTCTTTATTAAGGTTTTTCTCTGGAAAAGGCTGGTAAGGAAGAGATCAAGGCAATGCAGTATACTTTATGTCAGTAATAAAAAAACCCAAACCCACACAACTTGACTGATCATACTGCTTACATCTTCTAATCTTTTCCCACATTTTCAAAACGTTTCTAGTTCATCATAACTTCCACTCTTTGTAGATAACAGAAAACTAGTAGAAAATAAAAAGACACCCAAGAGTTAGACAACATACAGCTTTTTACCTCAACATAAGGTGACCAGCAGCAGTGCCTGCTTCCTGCTGACTAAAGTGAGTAAGAATGACTTGTTGCATATTAGCGTCTATCCTCAAAACATCACACAAGCTGAAAAAGCCTGACACAGGTACGCTATGGACAGTAAAGAAAGCTCCAGTCAAACTGAACATATGGTTTTCCCATCGTGACAGAGCAGGAACAGCAAATGCCCAGATTATTTCGACACATTAAATGATTTCCCATTAAAAATCTTGCTGCACCAGCTGGGGCTAGAGCCATGAGAAGTCTTGGAATGTACATCCAAAATACACAGCCTATCCTCTGCTGGTGTGCCACTAACATCTTCAACCACGTTTACTCAGTAAGAGACATCTACAGGTATAGTACTTGGCAGACTAACAGCTTACACTGCCTGCCAAATTCTACAACAGGTACAGTCAGTTCTACAGAGACAGACATCGAAACCACAAGAAAAACATTTGCTGGTATATCAAAAGAAACAGAATTTAAAGTCATCTACAAAAGTTATGGATATGATAAAAAAATACTATTGTTTTCTTATTTTATGATTATATAGTAGTGGTTTTCCTAAGAGGTTTGTGGACTACTTAGAAATCTAAAGAAGGTAAACAAGAAAAGCTACGGATACAGTTACTGATGCAGTTTAAATTTACTGCACAAGATACACTGGAAAATATCTATGGCTTCTATAGCTTAAAAGACACTGCAGAATAGTGCTGTAAAGGCATCTTGTAGTCTGGTTTCATGAGGAATTATCTGTCTCACCAAGTGGGCAGCCACAGAAATGGAATTCAGGCATTTTCTGTTTCCTTTGTGTGTTTGTGATTCTCAGTTATGCTGCATACATCCATTAAAACTTTTAAAAGAATGGTTTGCACCTTTCAAGCAGATTCACCCACACTGTGTATTCCCCACTTCATACATGTGGCACAAAACCTCTGCTGGAGTGGAATATGGTAGTAAACAGAAAACAGCAAGCCTGCCTAATGAGCCCCCAGAAAAAGCTGTACCCAACAAAAGTAGTTCTACCTGACAGAAGCTGCATGAGAACCCAGCGAGCTGCACTTCTTATCACTGTTTAGTTTTTGAACTGACAGAGGACATGACAAAGCTCCTCTAGGTAAAGTTCTAGACAAACTCTCCAATCAAGTCAGAAATTAAAAGACTGCGTCCCAAATTATATTTTAAGATGCTTTCTCAGAAGAAAAGGAGACACTTCCCATCTTATTATCAGTAGCGTATTAGATACTGGAAAAATACAGAGACCAAGTAACAGGGTAACCCCTCAAGTTGGTAAAAAACCCCAGTATAGCTGACAGAATAAAAGCCAATGTTCAGATATGATACAGCTGCCTTGATTTTAGAATATCACTTGTTTCTGCAACACTGATATGCTACATTTGACAGATGAGAACACCTTTAAAAAGGGGCAACCCCACTATAAAACAGTAGTGGTATGGGAAAAAAAAAGAATGAAAAGCTAAAGAGCAAGGTAAGAGAGAGCAGATGCCTTCCCTACTTTAGAAAGAATGTGGTTTTAAAGAAATTAACTTAAACCACTACAAAAAACTGCATGCAGTTATTTTAGCTTAGCTGACTTTATCAGAAATCTTTTTAAGCAAAACAAGATATGCTTTAGTACTGCAAATGCCAAGAGCATTTAACACCCTTTGGTTTATTTTATCATATGTATCTAGGAATTGCTGTACTGAGTCAGCACCCATTTCTGACGATGAGTAATGGCAGATAAGTAACAGTAGAGCAGAAACATAGGACAAATATACAGGAGTATACCCTGGGTATAGTCTATTTACCAAAGCAGCAATTTGTGAATCTAGGATTTTTTTCAGCCAAGGACAATGTTTTTGTATTGAAGTTACAATTTTCATTCATTAATTTCAGTGCATTTTGAACACTGTCACATTAAAAGGGTCTTAACCTGCATAAGGGATTTATCCCCCCCCAATAAGGTGGAAGATTTTACCCCCTCACCTGTAAGTTTGACAGGTTTGTTACCACCCCAGAGACCCTTGAGCCCACTTAGCCTGCCAGAGCCCTCTGCAGCAGCACAGTGCATCAGAGGGTGATTCAACTATCCTATTCAGGGTACATTATAGCAGATTCACCCATCAAGTTAAAACATTTTTAAAGTTTTTAAGCCAATTTTAAGTCAATTTAAGTCTATGGTAACTCACACAAAATTGATCTTAACTGAGAATTATATTGCTGGTGACAATATAATATACTAACTGCAAGAACAAGCATGAGAATAATATATAAAGCCAGCTAAAAATCAATCATGTAGCTCTTACCCAATAGGCATCCCTATGGGGGAGAGAACACACGCTCAGTCCATCAACGGATGTGAGCAGTTACAATGAAGTTGTAACTTCCCCCCTCCCTTCCTCCTTAATTTCACATATTTAGGTGATTTAATTCTTATTACTAACTCAGCTAATTTGCATACGGAGCACATAACTAAATGCCTAATCATGCTATGCGGAGAGTCTCCCACCTGAGCAGAGGTCTTTTGACCTGTGAATGGGATTTTTAGTATTAAAATAACATTATAATGATGATATTTCAACCAAAAGGACATCTGATCATGTTTTTCCTCACATACTTTGATGATCATCCAGGTGTTGTCAGAATGCAGCAGACTTCAAGGATAGTCTTTCTTGATTAGAGGTTTGTTAGTCTTTTCTCAGCCTGCCAACAAGGCCAAAGCCTCTCCAGCTATCAGTTCTTATTGTGAATCACTGTTGTTTCTCAGGTTTCCTGAGACAGCATCAGATACAAAAGGCCCTTGTATCTGTTCAGGCTCTTTCACAGCAACATAAGTTTCAATTTCTTAACTGAATACTTACGCAATTTTAAATATGTATGATTATAAAGCTTAAGTATATGATTATGGAGCTTTAACTAAACAGGGAGCTTGAACATATGCATATGGAACTGGAGTGGCTCTAGTCACATATATTTTGGTGCAAAATTCTAGCACCTTGTTTGTCAGCTGCTAGGTGGTTTATCAGTACATGGCACTTGCACGTTCCCACACCTGCATGGAATAAAACAGAGTCGTGGTTGTGTCTTCACTCTGCTCCACTCTCTATCCAGTTTATCTTCTCATATGCTAAGGTTGCAGGACTGCCAGTGGAACTGTTTCAGGGTAGACGCTTTGCATGTTAACTGCATTTCATCCCAGAAGTAGCAGCTACATTTTACCCTAAAATTCCCTTAAATAACTTAATGTACTTAAATAACTTAAATAACTTTGAGGACTGGGGAGAGCAGGGAGGTGGTTTCCAGTTTCCTCCATTAGTCCACAAACCCAACTTTTTTGACTCTGCTATGTTCTAAGGCACAAGTTCTGCAATTTGATCGTGCACTATGCAAAGAAACAGCTCTTTTGTCAACTGTCAGCTAACAACTTCACCTGATAACCCATAATTCTTGTCTTGAAAGAGCTGATGACTGGTCTTTCCCTACTGATCTTCATCACAACACTAATGTATCTCTCAGCTTCAATCGTATCCTCCCCGTGGGCCAGTCTTCAATTTTTCAAGCTCCCTTGCTCCTAACAGGGAAGGAGTTACACAGTTCCAGTCACCCTGTGTATTATTTTAGACCAGAAAACAACACAAATAATGGAGATGGAAAACCAATATAGCTTTATACACGTTCTTTACTCCATACCCAAATCTTAACATTGTTTCTGTGCAGTTTTTGGTTCCTACCAAAATTATGTTTTCTTAGATCCATCTACCGAGTACTAGCCAGTCAGAGAGGTTAACTCTACAAGAACTAGCTGAAAATTCCGGAAAAGGTGTTCAGACACTCTCTGAAAGCAACTTTGTTGGATACACACTAAAGCCAGCAAATTCACCTAGTCTTTGCTGGACCTTTGATGGTTGCCTTTCAGAGGAGGAGAAACAGAAACTTAAACCAGCTTTTGCAGCCATTCTGTTTTGCTCTGAAGCAGACAATTCTTATTGATACCCGAGTCAAAAAGATGACAGACAGGACACTCCAATTGCAAGCTACTTCCTATAATATTTTCTTGAATCTGCCTTCACAAACTATCAGTTTAAATGAATTTATCTAAGGCCACAGTCTCTGTAGCATGGATTACCTACAGGTGGGTGAAGCAGCTGTCTTTTCAGTTTCAAAGAGTAGCTGCTTTATTGCAAGGCTGAAAGCTTTGCTCCATCAACATACACAATAGTGCTTGGTAATACCTAAACAAAATCACATGAAATGAGTAGGAAGACTACACAACAGTGACACTTAGCACCTCTGAGTTCAACCATTTTGCCATATAACCTATCCACAGACCACAGACTGCACTGTGTAGACTTCTAAGTTTCCCAAACATAAAAGATATCAATGCAGGTGAAAGAAACTAAAAAATGTAACTGGGCATGATGATTGTCTGGATTTTCCACCAATTATGCAACTTGAGGACAATCTGGAAGAGATGCCCAAATAAGCATCAGGTGAACATCTGGATGACAGATGGATAGAATTCAAGGTGGCAGTCATCCTATCTGCAGTTAGGTTTAAAAGGTTATCAAAGTAGATGGTGCCATACGTCCCACAGACAAGGAAGGCATTTACTAACAGATGGTACTGAACAGTATGCCGAGTTTTTTTAAGGTCTAGGTATGGTTCAGGAGGGATGCCCTGAATGTGTGGAGTCCAACAGCCTTCTATATGAACATATACAGTGCGAATGCACATACAAATATTAACCAAGAGAATTCTGAGTTTGCTTTTTTAAGACATAATAGCTCAGACTCCAGTTAAAAAGCTGTATAATTACAGGAAGTATCATGAGATTGAATGCTGTCTGTACACATTGAGATTTCCTGCCCCCCTTAAGAGTGAACTGACTAATACATCTGTATAGGATATTAATTCAAATAACCCATCATGATTACCTGATTGTTGGCAACAATCATTTATTGATATGACCGGCACTCAAAGTTGTTTGGATTCAATGCAGAAGGTACTTAAAAATGGACTTCTCCCATTCCCCAGCCCCTCCACCAGTATGATCAAAAGTGGGTAAGTCCTGAGATACATCTCTCATCAAGGGAAAAGGAACCTACAGAGTGCTATGAAACAGCTAAAATTCATGGAGGTAAAAACAATTCCAAAGAATCCCTGAACAGTAGCATAACTTCTGTCGAAAGCGACCGTTACGGATCACATAATCTAATGGTCTGCTCAGAGCTGGTCTAAACTCTGAGTTAGGTCAGGCTGTACAGGGATCTTTTTAACTGCATTCTGAATCACTGAAATGATGGAGATTCCATAGCCCCTCTGGCATCTGGTTCCCAAGCTTTATCACTCTCGCCATTCATTTCATTTTTCTTTTGTATCCAGTCAGGATTTTCTCTGTTGCAGATTGTGTCCACTGCCCTTGTCCTTTCCCTGTACACTTCTGAGAAGAGGCTGTCTCTGCCTTTTCTAGCACCTCTGGCATTTGAACTTCATAACCTGCCAGTTCGTTTCCCCACCTCAACAAATCAGAGAAGCAGCTTGCTCCAGTCAGCAGATGAAAGTGCCAACAGGGAAACCATACTTGTAAAAGCCAGTCATAGCAAAATTTAACCTGACAATTTCAGCTCTGCTTCTACATTAGGAAATATAGGAAAAACTCTCAGATATATTCATCTCTATGCTTTGTCTATGATGAAGCAGCATTAGTGGGTTATAAATGAAGCTTTTCTGTAGCCTCAACTCTTTGTTGTTGTTGTTTTAATTACAGATAGAATAACATAGCTGGGAGTCAAGATGAATTTTGCCATTTTCATCTTTAGGAACTGCAGACCACAAAGACACCCTGTCCAGTAGCAGAACCCCCTTTGAGGTGAATTCTTTCTTGGGGATTTCTCCAAGTAGAAAACTGTGCAAAGCACCCATGGTTTAACTCCTCAGCATGTGACATAAGGTTTTCTAAACAGCTTTTCCTTGTAATCTCTTTATGATCTCTTAGTCCAGCACCTTGCTCCTTCTATACAATACAAAAAGCTACCTCTGGAAATTTGAAACCCCCATTTGGTCTCTCACAACCACAGGTGAGGATGTCGACTCCGTAGGCTGGACTTCAAAACTGGGTAAGCAATTTGGCTTTTAATGAAAACCAAAAACCACGCCAACCCCACATACCACAGCATAGATGCCGGAAAACTGACACCCTGAAAAGACAGGATCTCCCTTCCATGTCAGGATATAGAAATAAATGAAAGTACGACAGAAATAACTGAGTAGGATACTGATCCTCATTTGTGGTAAAACCTGAGCATGTCTGATGTAAGCACAATTTAATTTACTTTTTTTTTTCTTGTTTGCTGTATTTAATGATCACATTTAACAATAAGGCAGCAAAAGAGCACTGCTTGGACATCCTTGCCTCTCTGGGTAATGTACAAACAACAAACAAACAACAAAACAGAAACCCCACCCCCCCCCAACCAACAAAAAAAAACCCAACCAACCAACAACAAAAAAAACCCCACCAACTAAAAACAAAAAACAAAACAAAAAAAAATTCCCTCAAGATCCCCCCAAACCAAACAAAAACCACCACAAGAAAACCCAAAACAAAACAGAAGAGGAAGATACTGATTTTTATTTGCGACTCGTACACTCAGTTCTAGATATCTGCTTTCCAATAAATGTATTAGTGGTCTGTTTATTCTACTGCTGTGAGGTAGTTCTAGTATCCTTGTCTTCATTAATGCCAGAGGAATATAAACTGTACTGTTCTAGTGCACAGAATGCCTTACTTCATGTTTAAGGCATCTTCTATCTCCATGTCCAGAAGAACAGGGTCTATCTGCCTAAAATCACAGATAAACGGAGTATGTGATGAGACTGTAATGACATAACTCTAAAGAAGTCACCTACCTTTCTGCTTCATCATGATCTCAAAAACTGTTTTTACTCTAAATTAATCTGACCATTTGGAGGAAGGAACACAGCAGGTAAAAAAAGCCTTTGCTGATGGCAAAGATACCTATCCTAAAAAAGGGCAAGTGAATCTACTAAGTAAAATCGCTTATCTATTAAGAAATCAACATGAAAGTGACAAAAAGGGATGGACAAAACAGATGACATCTATCTTGAGACAATTCCTAAGGCAACCCATGTACAGCATAAGAAGCTATCTTACCTGAGCTGGTGAGCACACTCAGGGGACTGCTGGAGGAAGTGAGTGCAGCGGTACCACTTGGTGTGTTCTGAGCTGCAGTGGCTGCAGCCGCTAGTGCAGCCAGGTTCTGTAACTGCATTGCATTCAGTCCTGCAACACATTGAAGAATACATAGAGTATCTCCTATAATGGTCACCATCATTCAAGCTTAACAGATCCAGCAGTCTTAGCACATTGCAAGGGAGGGATGGGAAGAAGCTTAAAAAAAAGAGGCTTAATAGTAGTTACTGATCTTTTCCACATTGATATTCCTCATTATAACTAAAAAAGAAGTCTTTCTTTGCCAAGATAGATGATTTTCAGTACAAGAGCAGGTAGTCACTATCCTAAGAAGTAGACAAAAGCATAGCAGCTTTAACTGAGTCAAGCCAGGATCTGATAGCTCATCTGCAAGGTAGACAACTTGCCTAGACATCAGGCCAATAACATCTTTTCTCATGCTGCTCTATACTCTTTGTAAACAAACAGCAATAACTGCAGAATTCTTTCAAGAAGGCCTACACACCACAGTGGCCACAAAGTCACACCTTCATCATTGTAGCTTGCCCCCTTTTCCTGCCATGAGATTATCATCCCTATCAACATTCTTCTAAATTCTGTATTTTAGCCATCCTTTGGTAGGCTAGCTCCACTCTTCCAATTCTGCCTCTCAAGCCTTTTCCCTTATTTCCCTTTGTTGTTTCTACCTTTACTTATTCTAACAATTCCTCTTCTTTTCATCTGACTTCAGACAATCCCTACAAATTCTTCCCTACAAAATTAAAACCAAAATTAATTTCATTACCATTCATTTACAACATCAAAATGTCCTTGGCAAGACATGGCACCTCTTCTTTTGGATAGTTTGCAAGTACTTGGTGACAAAGCACATATCTCAAATAAGCAAAATCTCAGTTTTGCAATTTAAGTATGTGCAGACAACAAAAGATTGCAAACAGCAATGAAAGTATAAACTATTTATTTTCCAAAGAAAACTTCCACTATTAGCATAGTTCATTTTTTACAATCTTTTTCAATTGTTTTCTCTTTGTGACAGTCTGTTTCCTTAACTACATTTAGTACCTGAAACAAGAGGATCTGCCTTTATTTAGATTCTCAAGGTGCCATTGTAAAAAAAAGGATTAAATTAAAATCAAGAAGTTGCACTTTTTATTGTGCTACATGCAGAGGGTTAAGAGTGCAAATCTTAAAGCTAGTGAAGAACAAAGCAGCTTGCTTCCTTTTAGAAGCAATGGCATGCTCACTCTGCACCTGCCCTCTCATGATCATATTGTTTTCCCATCTGCTTTCAAACAGCATCAAGATTAAATTTTGTCTACAGAGTCTATTGTAGTTTGGGATATAATTACCTACTTAATTTTTCTTCCTGTGAATTTCAAGAAAGATCAGCTGAAGAGGTCTAATACGAAAACAGTAAGCATAAGAAGCTAAGGTTAGAATCAAGCTCAAGTATCAAAGAATGGTTTGGGTTGGAAGGCACCTTAAAGATCATCTGGTTCCAACCTCCCCACCATGGGCAGGAACATCTTCCACTACAATGATTGCTCAAGTATAAATCAAAGTTCTTACAATCTAAAATATAACACTTTGCAAAAGCTTCTGACTGTGTTGGTACACCCACCAGTAGAAAGTCAGATGTACAAAGACACTTCCTTACCACTTCTAGATCAACCCCTGCAAATACAGGACACGTGATATTGCAAACTACTGTACAACTCCTGAAGGCAATTTTAAAAGCTTAATGTTTTGAGTATTAAAACCAAAACTACAGGGTTTCTTTTTGCCATCAGAAGAATTTAGAGCATGTGGTGAACGGAGTTACTAACACATGGATTTTTATTACCCACCCTGTGAAGACAGAAAGGACAATCAATTTGCAGCCCAGTACTTAATGGCTGCACTCATACTTACAGCTATACTTAATGAATGTTCTGACTAGCAGTTCACAGCAAGGAATTTAGCTCATACATATTAAGATGGTATTTCCCTAACAGCAACAGCATAATCAATCATGATTCAAATGAAGGAATTAAAGAACCTAAATGAAGAACTTGATCACACTGCATCTCCAAATTTGAAGTATTTAAGAACAAAGAACTCAAAATGGGCAATCTAAATATCCATTATCACATGCATTATTGCTTATTTCAAAACATAATGCTTCACATATGCACTTGTTTGGATAAAGTAAGAGAGTCATCTTTTTGCACCCATAAGGGAAGACAGTTTTAAAGACAGAGGTAGGGAGATTACCAGCATATGACAACTTACCTTGGGGATAATGGTTAACTAAAATTAAGGAGGAAGATCCACATATGTAACCGATTCCTGTCATTCCAGAGGAGTGGGTAAACACAGGACTACTTATTTCAAATGAGATTAACATGTCTACAGCTTTTTGTCTACTTTCTCTACCCTCTTTTCTTGGGCACTGAATTTGTGTTCTGGTGGAAAAAACTCACCTCCCATTGGGTGGAGGCTGCTCAGTGTGTTCAGGTTCCCAGATGATGCAGCTGCTGTCTGCTGAAGGAGCTGCAAATAAAGCTAGACATTACACCAAAAAACAAAACAAGAGTGAGAGTGAGGGCTGGCTCCGCTTTCTGGGAGAAACTGCATCACACCACAGCCAGAGCGCCGTCACAAGGGGAATTCCCACTGCCCATGCACCACACTGTAACAAAGCGTAAAGAGAATTCCCCTTACACACTACAGCCAGAGCACCACCACAGTGAAAATCCACACTGCCCATGCAGATTACAGCCAAAGCAATAGCACAATGCTTTCCTCACTCAACATTATCAGTGTTGAGGGAAGTTTATAGCTAATACACCAAGACAAAAACCAGTGGAATCAGTAGTGAGAGAGCTCCTATTCAAAGCACTTCAGGCAGGACTGCCACCCCTAAGGATATGATACTTCAAGCCAGACTTAAGAGCTGACACTGCCAGCGAAGAACAAATGGCAAATACCATACCAAAACCAAAGACACACCATGAGAGAGAACCCACTCTGCTTTCCGTAAGCACAGCAGCCATGAGAGAAATTTCAAGCCTCAGCTCAGAAGCCAGAGGGATTTCCAATTCATTCCTCCATTAACTAGGCGGTGTTATAAAAAAATTCCAAACTACCAAACCTAAAGCAGTAGTAAAAGACAGAATGCCCCCACTTCAACAGTACACCATACCAAGAATGCCATGAAATTTTCCTTTTCTGTTCCCTAGACCTTATATTGTATGAATACAGTTCCCACAATCACTCTAGCCACAGCTCATCAGTTTACAGAAAGCTTACACTTTAGGGACCCAGCAAAATCAACTCAGATCAGTGGCAAACAGCAGACTACTTTCTGTTATGTCAATTTTACTAAAGACAGTAGCTTCTCTTTATTTGACTGTGCACTGTCTGATTGGTACGTCCAACCTGATCACCTTTTCTATCTGGGCAGCACCAACTACTATTCTAAGTTTCTCTGGAAGTGGATGAGAGAAATAAAGGCTGAAAAACATTGGAAGAAGAATACAAGAACTACGTAAATCACATAAGTATGAAAAGGGCATTTATATTGCATTGAAGCCATAACATATTAAGAAAATGTTCCCAGTGCAAAGTCATTCTACAGAAGACAGGAAAGAAACAAAGAAGTTTCAATAGTTAGGGCTACAGTGAATGGGGCTGAAATCCTCACCTAAATGTATCCTGACTAGTTGTTAGCACATAACTTAATTTCAGCCTCCTCATGCACTAAATGGGGATTAAGAACCCTGCTAATATCTACCAGGAGCCTTCTAAAAAGTTAATCCATTAAACACTACAAGACAGGCAGACACTGCAATCTCTGAAGAGATGAAAAGAACCCAAATCAGAAACTCACTGCTAAGTATTGGGGTCCAAGTGTGTTGAGACCAGCCAGGTTTCCCCATATTGAGGCAGCACTGATCTGTTGCATTTGTTGCTGGAGTTGCTGAGCAATTCGTTTCTGCTCTTTGTCCTTCTGTGTGTCTGCAAATTTTACCACAATGGGAGAAGAGCAACCCTGCAAACAGCAATTCAAACGATTACATACTTGCTATCCCCAGCAGTCACAAAAATACTGCATTCAGACCCAGTCATTGGAAGCATTCCTCTTCCCTTCCTCTACATGCATTCATACATACACACACACATATATATACATATATATATTTAAACAGCACATTTCATTAAAGGTTCAAAATCTGTTTTGCTTTTAATCCTATGTTCTGTTTGGTGTATTTTCTCTGCAGATGAAGTTTCTATCTCAAGCTCTAAAAACAGAAGCAGGACACACACAAAGTTCCAGGAGTAGCATTTGCGAAGAAACACACGCTGCACTTAGCCCTTTCTCTGCCCTTTAGTCCTCCAAAATCCATAGTGACTGCCTGACAAATTACATCATCTCTTGACACCCACTAACTTATTTTACCTCCATGGTTTGTGCTTGATGCATTGCTTTGATTGCTGTTTGCGCCATGGCTCTTGTTGTAAAAGTCACAAATGCACAACCTGAGAAAAGAACAGAAAGATATCAAGTCGTTCTTTTACACCCAGAATCACTGGGATCAGTAAAGACATGAAAATGGTGGTGGGCAGGAAAAAAATGCCACCTTGAGCTGCAAAAGGCAGCATCCAGTGGAGAGCCTTGAACTGCCTGAAAAGCTTCTGGCTTACCTCGGCTCAGGCCATCTGGGCCACGTAATATCCTGCATTCTTCAATCTGCCCAAAGGGGGAGAACATCACTCGGATATCATTTTCATTGCACTTCTTGGATATCATTCCAATAAACAACTTCCTATCTTCTACTGCTAAGAAAGCAAAAGAAAAAGAGTATTACCAGCAAGTATGTGCTTACTAGATCTTACTTTGTCGAGCCTTCTCCACCAGCTGCAGTTATTTCCCTTGTACTGAAGGTAGTGGCTTGTCAAAAGCAGATTCCCAATAATGGTATCTCTTCAATTTAAGAGGATGCATATAAGATACCTCACTGAACCTCAAGGATGCACATTTTAGGATGGTTTGTGCTTACATTTTGCTGTTTCTCCCTTGCAAGCCTGTGAACTGCAAGAACATAACGAAAGAATGTATCAGATTCAGCACTTCCCTGTATCTCCTAAGTTCAGTTCCTGGTCAGTGAGAGAAGACTTGTGTGCGTTTTATTGGGCTATTTTCATTCTCTCACTTCTGTCTCTCCTATCTTTAGACTACCAACATACCTAACTGTATCTAAACTGATAGAGAAATGCAGAAATCTTCTTTCTAGCCTCTTCATCATGCCAACCACTTAAATTTAGATCTTCCTGTTCTCTCACACTCCTGTCTCAACAGTGGAAGCGACATCTGTTACTAAACCAGAACAGTTTTAGTTCTATTTCAGATCCATCCATTCTGTTCTGTACCAAGAGTGTGAAACTAACACCTCAAATCAGAACAATAGACCATGTGCTACTGTACCTTGTCTCTAAATGCTGATATTACCAGATACATTAGAATTGAATAGTACCTTTCACTGTGAAGACCAATTTAAAATAAATGGTGCAGAAAGACATTTATCTTAGCTTTCCAGTTAGTGGTTATGAATGTCAGTTTAAGGTCATTTAAGGGAGTGGGGTAAATTCAAATCCAGAGCAGAACTGTGTCTTGCTTTATTTATTTAAGGATGCTAATCACCTCTGAAATACTTGCTTTTAAAGGATGAAGCAAATTATACCAAATACCATTTGGAAATATAAATCAGTCTGATATTATATATATATATTATTCAGCACAATATAAAACATGGTATCATGAAAAACACAGCACAACTTGAAGCTTCAAGAAAGTCTTCTATTAAGTGCCATGGTGAGGGGAAATCAACTTATTTGCTGAGTCTTCTGTGGTGTTTAAGAGGGAAATTCCAAACTATTCCATGAATATGACTTTAACTGATTATTAAATCTTATGTGGTACCCAGTTCATTTTCAAGCTTAGAGCAGAAAGCTACTTTCAAATACTTTCTGCCATCCATTTTAGTTCAAGAGACCCAGAATCCCTTTTATTAGTGGCACGTTAAAGTACTTTAACTGATGCTTTCCAATTTGCATTTTCACCTACACCATTTACTAAAACTCATGTAATTACATAATGGCCTCAGAACTGTCACCCTAAAATTCCATTAAATACCTTTTAACTCTTTCCAGGATATTTGTGTGTGGGTGGGATATGTGTGAGATGCAAGATCAATTTTAATTTAAAGAACCTATCCTGTTCTCCTCCCAACAACAGTTGAAAAGAATTACTCCTTTTCTAGATGTTTTTATACAGGAACATATTCTGTACACACACAGAGGAATGTGCAGATGGAATTACTCCTACTAGATGTTACCCATATATCCCATCTTCTGTTTTCAATTATCTTGACATGCAAGTTTTCTGGAGCCAGGACTAAATTCTCCATTATGCAACGCTAATCTTATATTAACTATGGCAAATGAAGAAAAAATAAATTCAGCTAAGCCTAGAAAGGCTGAAACTACAAGATGTTAAACAGTTTCTTTGCTTATCTTGCAGCAATTTATACAAACACACAATCATTTGAGCATGTATATCTATAAACTCATAACAGAACTGCATGGAAAAATGATCATTTACCCAATGGTAGATGCTAAATGTCTTAATCCATCTGAAATGGCCAATGTGCAGAAATATTCACAGTTTTTTTCTCTACTGAAGAAGTGGTGAATTTTCAATCTCCCTTTTGTATACTATATATATAGTATACTGTATATATACAGTATATACTATATATATTTGTATACTAATATACCTATTGTATACTACAGTAAGTTTTGACCCCCACCCTAGACACAACAGGCCTTGCTTCAAATTGGTCAAGCACCTGAAAAAGCATTTCTTAGATTTCATGCAATCATAGAATAGTTTCCAGTGGAAAGGACTTGAAGATCATCTAGTTCCAACCCCCTGCCACAGGCGGGGCCACCTTCCACTAGACCAGGTTGCTCCAAGCCCCATCCAACCTGGCCTTGCACACTGCCAGAGATGGGGCAGCCACATCTTCTTCGGCAACCTATTCCAGTGCCTCACCACTCTCACAGTAAAGAACTTCTTCCTAATATCTAATCTAAATCTATGCTATTTCAGTTTAATACTGTTACCCCTCATCCTATCACTACACTCTTTGATAAAGAATTCCTCCCCGTCTTTCCTGTAGATCCCCTTTAGCTATTGGAAGGCTCCTGTAAGGTCTCCCCTGAGCCTTCTCTTCTCCAGGCTGAACCACCTCAACTCTCTCAGCCTGTCTTCCTGGGGAAAATGCTTCAGCCCTCTGATCATGTTCATAGACCTCCTATCGACCTGCTCGAGTGAGTCCATGTCTTTCTTATGCTGGGGGCCTCAAGAGCTGAACGCAGTACTCCAGGTGGTGTCTCACGAGAGTGGAGTAAAGCAGGAGAATCACCTCCCTTGACCTATTAGCCTTTCTTTTGATGCAGACCAGGATATGTCTGACTTGCTGGGCTGCAAGTGCACATTGCTGGCTTATATTGAGTTGTTCATCCACCAATACCCCAAGTCTTTGTCTACAGGGCTGCTGTCAATCCAGTCATCACCAAGAATGCATTAATTTGGGAATGCCCTGACCCACATGCAGGACCTTGCATTTGGCCTTGTCGAACTTCATGAGGTTCACATGGGCCCAGCTCTCTAGCCTGTCACAGTCCCTCTGGATGGCATCTCTTCCCTTTAGGGTACCAGCCACAGCACTCAGCTTGGTGTCACCCATAAGCTTGCTGAAGGGTGCACTCAATCCCACTGTCAACGTCCCCAACACATATTGAAACCACCTTAGTACAAAGAAGAACTCACTGGATGTTTCCCTAACTGACAATGTGGTTCTACCACAAGCAGCAGCAGTGGGAGATACAGAGTCACAGAATTTGAGAGACATCATTTATGCTATTATATTAAAAACACAGGTTTTTTTTTGTCTCCAATTCAAGAGGACTTCATCAGAAGCTGTTAACAACAGGAAAATACTCAAGCTTCCCTAATGTTGCAAATGATGCCACCTAATTGAGACTATACTAAAACTTACCATTACTCTTTTCACTGTCAGCTGGTTTCATCTGGATAGGATGGTGCATCTGAAATGTAAAAAGATTATTTAATCCTAGATACATTCACTTTATACTCTATAAAATACATCCCATATGAATTGTGCAAGAAAGAGGAAGAAGGCCTAAACTGCCTCTACAGAAATGCATATGTAACAACACACAGATTTCTAGAAGAAAGAAAAGCTTTCTTTAGGATATGCCATCATTCCTCCTTGGAGAGTATTATAGGAGCCATGCCCACCCACTTCACTACCATATGCTCAAAAATTCCCTTAAGATCTGTTATCATATAAATCTCATGACATTGCTCTTTTGAATAGTTCTTTTAGAACATGATTTGAAGGCAGGATAATGTATGTTTGTACATCAGTGGTGCCAGAGCTCAATAAAACAGTTGTGTTAAGAAAGCATGGCTCTTCTCTTACCCCTGGGAGGATCTTCATGTTGTGAAGAGCATTCTGTGCTTCTAGTGCAGCTTTACGGGTATAAAATGTAACAAAACAGCACCCTGCAATGGAAACAAGATTTTAGCCAAGAAAGAACTATGAATCTTGACATGCAAGTCCCACCTCTATCCTTCCAATGCAAAACTTAGGACAAATAGAAGAGGTTAGACATTGAAACCTGGAGGTACTACTGATAGAAATCTTCTTTAAACAGTTACTAAGTGCAATAAAATAGGATACGTTCAGAACTGACCCAACATCACCAATACACTATTAGAACAAAAGTTTAGATACATTTGCCAAATAATTGTTGACTACTTCTATTATGAAACTCAACAATTATTTGCTAGTACCAAAAATTTACCTAGTTTCATAGGAAATAAGATACTGCATATAACTGAACTGCAAATCCAGTTAGTTATTTAATGCACACAAGTATTTGATGACACACAAATGACTAAGACCTCAATTTTATATTTTATCTGAAACTGTGATGCTTTCAGCAACATTTTCACTATACTGTAACATCACAAATTTGATCTGGAGCAACACAGTATTAATTTTATGTTCTGTTTTGCAATTATAATCCATACTTTTCAAGCATCCTGATCACTTAATGGCTGGACAGCAGTCCAACTATAATCAGACACGCAGGCTTAAAGACTATAAAGCCTGGGCTATCATGGACACCTGGTCACATAAAGCTCCTCACAGGGATGTTTGAATAAGCTAACGAACTTAAACAACTAAGACTAACTACATGAAAGCAGCTAACACTCCTAGTCTCAAGTACAGAAGTTCTCACCTTTGCTCTGAGGAGGGTTTTGGCTCCTGTCTCTCAAGACATTGATTTCATAGACAGCACCATACTGTTCAAAAAGTTCTCTTAGATCCTTCTCACACCAGCTCCGTGGGACCTGACCCACAAACATCTTGATAGCATCTAGATCAGGTTGGTCTGGGTGATCCAGTGTGCCATTCATTTTCTTTGCACTATGGAAATCAAGAATGAATTTCTAGTTTGTACCCTTCTGCAGATTTCAGATGTTGTTGCAGCTAGAAGAATGCTTACAGTGAGATTAAAATATTGATTTCTAAACATATATGAATGTACATGATTAAAATATACATATAAAGAGATTCCTGTGTATTCCCAGTCCTGCATACCAGAGAATATTCAGAAACACCACTGTCATGTTTTAAACCCAGCTGGCAAGTAAGTACCACGCAGCTGCTTGGGGAGGAAAGTCAGAAGAATGTACAACCCATGGGTTGAGATAAGAACAGTTTAATAATTTATAATAGCAATAATACCACCAATAACAATACTGATAATAATAACAGGGAACAACAAGAAGCAAGAAATAAAATGTCAGAAAACACAACTGATGTACAATACAATTGCTCACTACCCACTGACTGATACCCAGCCTATCCTGAGCAGCTATTGATCCCTTCTAGCTAACTCCGTGCAGTTTACATCCTGAGCATGATGCATGGAATACCCCTCTGGCTAGTTTGGATCAGCTGTCCTTGCTGTGCTCCCTCCTGGCTTCTTAAGGTGTGTTATCGGCATTATTCTCAGACTACAGGCAAAACACAGTAGTGCACCAGATACTAGGAAGAAAATTAACCCATATTCCAGCCAAACACAGGACAATCATTCACATTCACTGGCAAGGTGTGTACTTGGAAACCAAGCACTCTCTACACAGCTGTTTAAAACTTCTCTTAAAGCTTGCTCTTACTTGTAGTCAACATCTGGGATTCAGAACATAAGTCTGTTGAGATGACTAAAAAAATATCACTAGTTGAACCATGTAAATTTTTACATGAAAAGGAAACCAGAGCAGGAAGGAACCTGGACTCAATTTACCCACAGATCACTGAAGTTACCAGTAGCCACTGAAAGTAAGAGGATAATATTTTCTTCATTGTTTTTAAATGTGGCTACCTGGAACTATATCCCAGGAGAACATCCATCTTAACACAGAGAAACAGGTACAACTGAACAGGTGAGAAGTTTCTTTAAAGGTCTACCAAGCAATAGCTCGTTGTGAAACTAGGGAGCTGTCAGCAATATTTGGCAAGCAAAGACAGGCTTAGGTTGTACATGAAGAGGTTGGGACTGGACAATCTATAGTCAGCCGCACACTGAATCAAGTTGAGTAATAGCAGGGTGTTAATACAGAAAAAGTTTTTTCTTAGACTACAACAATACAGAAGTTTTGAGTATGGAAATCTTCAATAGGCTACAAGGCATTAGCTCTAACGGTATGAACAGCCTATTATAAAACTGTGTTATACTCCACACAGCTTGTTGACAATCACAGCTGCCTGTATTGACCCCTCATTGCTCGGCAAGTGCAATGTGAGGTCTTGCTATCAGCTGTCACAGTCTAGTATACCACAGGACCTCTCTCTGTGGAAGACTGACTGTAACGACATCCTATTGTCGCTATAGTGATTAGTAGGTTAGAATTGCTGACCAGTCCCCGCACAGTCTAGAAGGCATGTGGGGCGAGTGGAACAGTAACCACACAATGATCCCCACTGCCCCTAGTCTCTTCATTGAGGAATACAGGTGGCCTTCTTCTACAGCAGTCAGCTCTCTTCATCACTGCTTTTTTAACTTTAAAGATAGGTTTTGAAGGGCTTATTAACACATTAAACGTGTTTAAGTTACTCACTGTCCATCTGCAATCATATTCCCCCCCTTGAACAGAACTTAAAAAAATCAGTAAAACAAGATTTCCAAACCAGGTAACATTTAGTTAATTTCACCCCTCAATATGCTGATGTTCTGAGCCTAAGGACTGATGCCAGGGAAAGCTCATGATTTTGTAGCTGTAAGAAGAGACATAGAAATCACAGAATGGTTTGGGTTTGAAGGGACATTAAACCCATCCAGTTCCAACCCCTGCCACAGGTAGAGACACCTGCCACCAGACCAGGTTGTTCCAAACCCCATCCAACCTGGCCCTGAACACTGCCAGGGATGGGGCAGGCACAGCTTCTCTGGGCACCCTGTGCCAGCGCCTCAGCACCCTCCCAGGGAAGAATTTTTTCCCAGTAACTAATCTAAATCTATCCTTTTTCAGCTTGAAGCCCTTCCTCCTTGTCCTGTCCCTACAGGCCCTTGTAAAAAGTCCCTCTCCAGATGTCTTGTAGGCCCCCTTTAGGTACTTGAAGACTTACAAGGTCTCCCCTGAGATCAAAAGCAACAAAGCTTCTTACTAAGAAGGAAAGGAAATCATCATAAATCCTTTTACTCCTCTCTACCTTTCAACTCAGAAAGGGTGAGCACATCTCCAAATAGTCAAGGCAAACAATACCTTTTACAAAGAAAAACAACTGGAAACATTTACCCTCTTCCAGCAATAATCTTCAGCCCTGTGTTCTATGCCATGGGTAACTGCAAGAGCTTAGTGTGGCTCTTATTAATTGGGCAACTCTTCACATGATCTCTACAGTATTCAAGGAATCTTTCATTCCTAGTTAAAAGGTCTAGTCTGGAGTCATTAATAGGGAAGAACAGAAGCTGTTCTCCCAATGACTGATTTAAATAACTAATTTTATAACATCAGCACCTGTAGCATACTATAAACAATACTGCCAAATAGCTTTACTCCTCCTTAGCTCTCATCCCCAAACTTGTAAAGATCATTTTTCCTCTTGTGCAGGATCCAACATCAACTGTCAACACCAGTAGGATTTCTTCAAGAAAACAAGCTGCAGGCTCTCCTATCTCTTTCCCCCATGTCGTTCCCCACAAGGGGAGCTCATCAGACAACTCAGGCTCCAGAGACAGCAATTCCAACTTTCACTTCAGTTATAAACTTAGACATGAAGACAGAAATACTTACACAGGGCTGGCATTCAATGAGCAATGGTCCACCATCATCTCTGGGAGAAAATCCAACTTGAACGCAGCCATCACCTCAGTCTGTGACAAACTACTAACACTAAATCAGTGTACTGCCTAACCCCCAAACAACGCCACTTCCAAAAGTCCTGCAGGTCTTAACACTCAGCCACACAAAAAACACTCAAACCACAGAAGCTCAGGGAGACCAGCAATAGACACCACAGAAACAAGGCTGGACTGGGAAAGGGACATGGAATCCCAGATTAAAAAGGGGATGTGACCATGTGAAGGGAGGCTCAGCTTAATACACAATGAAAGTGCTGATGCACAGGGCTTGTTTTGTGCAATTTTCCCTGGCGAAGCAGTACTGAGTGCACTGTCAGATAAACAGAGTGTCAGATCCATGAAGATAGCAATGGGTAACAGAGCAGAAAGAATACAAACTACAGTCTTTCCATCCCCAACTAACTCCTTGCCTCCCAAAAAGGCAGTCCAAGGCCCTGATGCTTCCCATAACTGCCAAAATTAAGGTGTGAAGCCAAGAAGTTCCTTCACCATCAACATTTCCAATGGCCAATTTTACTCTTTTTACCTTGTGCACTGCTTTTGATACTCTCCTAACTTCTAGGGAGAATGCTACCTGGTTCTCTGAACCTGACAAAACAATCACAGCTAAAAAATTTGATTATTCAAAACTACCACAGAGCATCAAAACCTACTACTTTATAAAAGCAAAACATACACCGTTCTGGAAATAATGCTTTGCCTATCATGCATCTATAAATCCAGAGATATACAGAGCCTATAGATGATAAAGGGGAAAAAACTCAGTCATTTGTTGAAAACTGATAATCTTTGAAAACACCAATCAGAATATGTTCTGGTGTCCTCAGCATAAAAAGGACACGGAACTGTTGGAACAAGTCCAGAGGAGGCCACAAGGATGATCAGGGGACTGGAGCACCTCCTGAATGAAGATGGGCTGAGAAAGTTAGGGCTGTTCAGCCTGGAGAAGAGAAGGCTGAGTGGAGACCTCCTAGCAGCCTTCCAGTATCTGAAAGGGGCCTACAAGGATGCTGGAGAGGGACTCTTCATTATGGACTGTAGTGACAGGACAAGGGGTGGTGGGTTCAAACTTAAACAGGGGAAGTTCAAGTTAGATATAAGGAAGAAGTTCTTTACTGTGAGGGTGAGGCACTGGCACAGGTTGCCCAGAGAAGTGGCAAATGTTCCATCCCAGGCAGTGCTCTAGGCCAGGTTGGACAGGGCTTGGAGCAACCTGGTCTAGTGTGAGGCATCCCCGCCCACGGAATCATAGAATCATAGACTAGTTAGGGTTGGAAAGGACCTTAAGATCATCAAGTTCCAACCCCCCTGCCATGGGCAGGGACACCCCACTCTAAACCATACCACCCAAGTTCAACCTGGCCTTGAACACTTCCAGGGATGGAGCATTCACAACCTCCCTGGGCAACCCATTCCAGTGCTTCACCACCCTCACAGTAAAGAACTTCTTCCTTATATCCAGTCTAAACTTCCCCTGTTTAAGTTTAGACTGGGGAGATAATCTGACTAATACAGGAATCATTAGGAGATGCAGAAATATTTGACTGTAGGGATGAAGTACTGCAGAGGCAGCTGGGTGTGCCCAAACACTCCAGGAGCGATCAGTAATTCAAGTCCAACATGAATCCAGATGAGCCTTACATATACAGTTAATATAACCACAAAATAAACTCTTAAAAGCATCAAGGAATGCATGCCGAGGTGGCTGCAATCACTTCTTTCTTTCCTGTCCATGACTGCAACATGTACCTGCAGTTATTTAGGCTGGCCAGTATATACAGCTTGCTTTACACTTGAACAGTTAAAGCACGTCAGTTATTTTTTTCATAAAGAACTGTTTCCAGCCTCTGAAAAGAAACAAAACAAACCCCCACCAGAAACATTCCTCTGCCTATAGTGGGTTTGATTAAAAGGTTATTAAAAGGAGTTAGGCCTGGTAATACAAAAAGATCTGCGTGTTACTGCAAAATAAGAGAAGACATGAATTTATCACACATCACAGAATTACAGAATGGTTTGGGCTGGAAGGGAGCTTAAGGCCATCATTTCTCTGTATTCCTCCCAGGTTACCTGTCCTTGCTTCCACCCTCTTCCACAAAAAGGAAATAGGCTTCCATTTTGTGCTGGAATTTGTCCAGGAGCTACTTGTTCAGCCACGCAGGTCTCCTGGCATTCTCCCCCAGCTTCCTCTTTATTGGGATGCATTGCTCCTAAGCTTGGCAGAGTTGACTGTTGAATATCAACCAGTTTTCCTGGGCCCATCTTCTCTCTAGGGCTTTATCCTGTGGTACTCTACCAAGCAGATAGGGCCAAGGTCTGCTCTCCTGAAGTCTTGGGTACCAAGCTTGCTTCATACCTTCCTCGCCGCCCTAAGGATCTTGAACTCCACCATTTCATGGTCACCACAGACAAGGCTGTTCTCGAGCTTCACATTCACCACTACCCCCTCCTTCCTGGTGAGAACAAGGTGCAGCACAGCCCTTCTCCTTGGTGGCTCTTCTATCGCTTGGAGAATGAAGTTATTATCCAGAAACCTCCTTGATTGTTTATGCCCTGCTGTGCTGTCCCTCCAACAGATAATCGGGATGGTTATATCTCCCCCTGATTACCAGGGCTTATGAACATGAGGACTCCATCCACTCAGTCTTCCTGGTTGGGTGGTCTGTAGCAGATCCCCACTATGTCACCTGTCCACCATAAGCTCTTGGTTGGCTCCTCATCCATCCTTAAGCAGAGCTCCATTCACTCCAGCTCATCACTGACATAGAGGGTGACACCCCCTCCTCATCTTTCCTGGCTGTCCTTCCTGAAGAGCCTCTAATTCTTCCATCTCAACACTCCAGTCATCATACATCAGATAGTCAACAGTAACTGATTTATGCATGCTCTTACCATGTTTTAAATACAAGAAACTTTAATGAAAAAGGTGTGAGCTATCTGCTAAGCACCACTGTTAAGAGCATGCAAATAAACACTAAGGAACAGAGGTCAAATTACCAGCTTTCGGGAAATTACTCATATCTACCTTTAGACATATCCTACAGGCTTCTCACTTGAAAAATGCCATGTTGGGGAGAGCACATCATATTCAAACGTTAAACTAAACCCTAGAGACCACTTGGTGGATTTGTCACAAATGAGCCCACAGAAAGAAACACTTCAGATTTACATTATTAGGACAGCAGAAGATGTAGTGGTGCTCTTGCCACTGTTCACACAGATCTATAGACCAACACCCTAAATTCTGAACCTAGCTGTGAAGACCAGAATTCATTCCTTCTGGTCATCTTTACTTTTGTTAAGCAGCCAGTAAAATACCCCAGCAGCCATGCCCACTGTAGGTCTGATGAAAGATGATGCTGGCAACAGACACTCTAGAAAATGGGTTTTAAAGAGATTACTGAGATTGATTAGTTAGCTTGATTAGTGAATCAATTAGTTAGATTAATTAGTAAAGAAAATCCCTAAGTTACTATGATCTTATGCACACCCCTTTCCTCATATCTGTTCCTCAAAATGGAAGTCATATCTGCTTGTTCTGTTAAGACAGAACTCCAACAAGTTCAGGCACTGTGATAACACTCCATGTCAAATTCAGTCTACAGATTTGATAATAAAAATATTAGTTTTGTGCAACTATCCTGCTACATAATAATTTTTAATTCTTCTTATACTTAATTTCTCCTTTTATGTGCTCACTTTAATGGCAGTGCCAAAAAATTCACATGCTGTTACGTACAGTTTGGGGTCATGGTGAATAAATATCTGAAGGTATGTTAGCCAAAATTCAGTGCCTCAGGGTACCATACTTCTGCACTAATGATAGCAGTTTTAGTGACAAAACACTACAACCAGGTTTGTTTTAACATTATTTAGTTGAAGGCATCAAACTTGTGAAATTAAAAGACTTGCAGAATTCACTTGTGAAAAGGAATTTTTCACTCTTGCAAAGAGTGGAAGAAGATGGTATTTCACTACTGCACAGAGAATTAAAGAAGGAAGCAATGTTTCTTTGGAATTATAAACCTCACAAAAGTCATGCCAGCCATTCCTCATAAAAAAAGAAAGAAAAATAAGAGAGCTAAACACACTTATTTTTTGCTCAGATGTCAAATTCCTGCTGGCTTCCAGATCCATTCTTTGACTGTTTCTATTCAAAGGATAATAGAAACAATGTCTGAAATTCCAAGCTCTATGGACTGTAGCTACACATTTAAACATGGTGCTAATGTGACAACATGAACATCAAAAACTTCTACATACTACCGATTAAATCTTTCTTTTCGTGCTTCTGAAGTCCTAAATTCAGCTGCAGGATCTATTGCTATATATGCTCCTCAGACTGTAGAGTATAAATGCTAAAAGTTTTGCTTTTACGTTTACAGAATTACATCACATCCTGGGGCATAAAATCTAAAAAAGAAAACCCAAACCAAAAAACAAACCACAAACCCCCAAATCCTGTGTTCTATCTTCCTTCCTAAGAAAGCCTTAGTCGTTTCAATGAGGACATAACTCTGAAAGCTAAAGATAAGACCACTTTCTGTTTGATACCTTCTGAACCTCAGACAACATACACAGATGTGAAGCTGAGGGACTACTGGGATGGTGAGAGCAAGCGATGGGAAAGGACGCAGGCTATGGGGAAATCAGACACTGTGAAGCTCTGAAGGAGACAGGTCCTAGAATAAACTTCCCCTTGGATTATCTGTGCATATCCAGACCCCTATAGTGTTGCTGAATTGCGGTTTTGATTTTGAACAGATAACCCCTAAGTTACATGCATCAAAATCCAGTAAGTATTTGTCAATATTCTGTTGTTTCACTGCTGATCAAGCGAGCCTGTGGTCAGAACCCTTTCTGCCCATGCTGAAATCCAAACTGTCTCCCCATGCCTCACTGGGTATAAAAAGCCTCCACCTAATTGCCAAGTGGCAATTTCTTCATTTGCCAATCTGCATGACAGTTATGCACTGTGGGTACACAAATCTGACACATTCAGAATGCTGAGTTTATCATTAAGGTACATGAATTTTGGGGCTCCCTACAATTTGGACTGAATTAACTGAAACCCACTTTTATTTATATGAAGTTTTTGTAGAAGTACCCAGGTGAAGAAAAAGGATAGAAGGGATGACGCTTCTACCTCAGAAATAGCAAAGTTCCACAGTGTTCTCTCTTATGCATTTATTTGAGGGCATTTAATCCCTCCAAACCTAGATGGGTTTTCACAAATCAGGTAAGTAAATTTTATTCTAAAAATAGCTTACACTCAGCTTTTTTCCTCCCCTTCCTCAAAATGTTTCTGCAACAAGAATGAGGTGTATCAATGTATTTTTGCCCTATTTTGCTGGCTTACACGGTATAACTTCTACTCCAATGAATCCTTTGAAATCTCAAAAGGAATGATTTCCAACCTGGGGAATCCCA